ATCACCGGAAGCTGTGCTCCCGCGCTTCTCCCTACCTTCGCCGGTCCGTTTCTGCTAGGGTTTAGGGTTTAGGGTTTAGGATGGGTTTGGGGTGTTGGGACTAGGGGTGAGGATTTGGGAAAAATTTCGGAGTTTCGGGTGTTAGGGTTTATGCACTTTATCTAATATGTGTGTATGCGATACCTTATTGATATTGAAAGACCCCTCTGGCATTCGACGGGCTTGTGATTTACGGCTCAGGCGGACGACCCGCACAAGCAGCAGCTAAAGCGAATCCACGGATTTCGTGTTTTCGGGTCTCCGGTCTCGGGTTTAGGGTTTAGGAAAGTTCAGGGGCTCACAGGCTTCTAGCCTGTCAGAGCGGAAAAAGCAGATGGCCTTAATGCGCGAGGCTGGTTAAAGCTTCGTCTGTCTGGTGCTCAGTAGGGAATGGGGGAATGGATCCCAATGATAGTCCCTTAAGGTCCCTTATAGAGTCCCTATGACCCATTCCCCCATTCCCTACTAAGCACCAACCAGACCTTCGTCTCCTTAGAACTGGTCGAGGGCCATTGGGTCATCGAGCTGCTGTCCAGAGCTCTGCTCCCAGTTGATTTAGGGTTAAGGGTTTAGGGTTAAGGGTTTAGGGTTTAGGGTTTAGGGTGAGCTCATCAATCATCGACCAGAGACAGTTGAAACCCTGGTGCCTCATGCTATGTTGAGGTACTGATGGTACTGACACTGTGTTGAAACTTCAAACCCTAAACCCTAAACCCAACTGCCCGAAACTTAGGTACCTCTTGCCCTAAACCCTAAACCCTAGGCCCTAAACCCTAAACCCTAAACTTTTTTTGGGGGGCCTAGGGTTTGCAGGGTCCCCTTTGTCACTTCAGCACTCTCGGTGAGATGAGATCACTCCTTCCGCGACCTGGCAAGGTCGGATGTCAGGGCTCTGAGGGTTGGGTTTAAGGGTTATTTAGGGGTTTAGGGTTTAGGGTTTAGGGTTTAGGGTTTAGGGTTTAGGGTTTAGGGTTTAGGGTTTAGGGTTAGGGTTTCGGGTTAAGGTTTTTTTTTTAAGAGCAATGGCCTTTTCTGTGCGGGGTTTAGGGTTTAGGGTTCTTGGGGTGCCCGCCCGGCTCCAAACTGTAACGTAAGGGCCTTAACAATTAGAATAGAGTTTTGGGGTATATTATACGATAACCATAACAGGGAGCACCCAAAATAGTGTAGGTAATTATCTAGGCCCCTTTATTCCCCTGACCCTGACGGAATGCCCCGGGATGCACTTGAAAGTCAACTGGGCAGCACAAACCACACTTTGACTCTGCTTCTGCCTGCTGGCATCCTTACTCCCAGGATCAGACAACGATGCTGCCAAGAAACACAACATCGAGAGACGGCCTGATGGAGATCCGTGTCTGCATCACAGGTCCCCAAACTTGGCCAAGTGCCAGGCTGGGTAATACAGATGCACCGCTCTTAACCATTCTCGACATGCCAAGCGTGGAGGGAGTCCACACACAACTCTTCACTGCAGCCTGCCGCTAGACAACTTGTGCTGGAGACCATGCTGTGCTCAAGGGATAATCACACGAGTGCTACCATGACAGCAGGCTTGCCCCATGAGAGAGAATCTGAGAGCAGTGTCTGCACCACACAAGTCCCCGAACGGAGCCTTCGTGCCCGACCAGGCAGAACGGATGCAGAGAGATGAATAGAAAGATATGCTCTCCCGGTGCTCATGCTCCCATCGTGGCGCACCCTTGCTCTCAGGATCAGACAACGATGCTGCCAAGAAACACAACATCGAGAGACGGCCTGATGGAGATCCGTGTCTGCATCACAGGTCCCCAAACTTGGCCAAGTGCCAGGCTGGGTAATACAGATGCACCGCTCTTAACCATTTCTCGACATGCCAAGCGTGGAGGGAGTCCACACACAACTCTTCACTGCAGCCTGCCGCTAGACAACTTGTGCTGGAGACCATCTGTGCTCAAGGGATGATCACACGAGTGCTACCATGACAGCAGGCTTGCCCCATGAGAGAGAATCTGAGAGCAGTGTCTGCAGCGAAGGTCCCCAGAGCAAGCCACAGGGCTTGGCCGGGTGTGAAATGCCGCACCTTTCACGTGGGCGGCCTCTCTGCACACCCGACAGCTGTCTTTGGTTTTTGCTGGTCAGACGCACTTGCCGATGCAGGATCTCTACCCATAGGCCCATAGTCGTTCCTTTTCGGGATTACCTAATAAGATTCTAGATATGAACCCCAAAAAGGAACTACTATGGGGCCTATAGGTGACCTATAATCCGAAGCCCTGCCTTGACCCCGACCCTTCTTCATATCCCTCCCCACCCCCCAGATCCCCTTAACCCCTGCATCCCAAAACCCCAAAACCCTAAACCCAACACCCTAAACCCTTTACCCAAAATCCCTACACCCCCTCCCCCCCCCACAACCAAAAAAAAACGGGCCTCCGACACCTCTCAGGCGGAGCCCGGGAGGTCTCCAAGAACTTTGCCTTGCCGGCGAAGGTGTATACAGTGAACCCCAGAAAGTTGGAACAGGGGTTGAGGGTTTAGGGTTTAGGGTTTAGGGTCCCCAGAAAGTTGGAACAGGGGCTGAGGGTTTAGGGTTTAGGGTTTAGGGTTTAGGGTCCCCAGAAAGTTGGAACAGGGGTTTAGGGTTTAGGGTCCCCAGAAAGTTGGAACAGTGGTATCCACTATACTTTACCTTAAGGGCATGAGGATATGCATGTTCCCCAACTTTCTGGCTTCTGCTATAAGGGCGTTAACATCTTATTGAGTTTGTTAGGTCGTATGACGGGATTTCAGGGCACTACTGATAGGTGCTGTTGGCGTTTGAGGTCTTATTGCTTACAAGGCTTTACAATTATCGGCATACATACTATATTGATATTATGAAATGAGTATGTATATATATATATATATATATGTATGGATATTTCTATCCAACCAAGGTTTTAGAGGGGTCTTGAGGCGTTGTCGGTTTCCCTTGGATTTCACGCGGGTCCTATGACTTCTGGTAGGTGTTGTGGTGGCTTTAAGGTATGACCTATGTCAGGCTTTGTAGGGGGTCTAAACGTCTTCTTGAATCTTACTCGTTTCTCAATTAGGTCGAACTGGGGCTTTAGGGTGCGAAGTTCAATCGTAGCACTCGAAGGGCAGGAGACGCAGCATGTGGGGCCATGGCTAGGGTAACCAAAGGAAGCAGCCCGAAAGAGGCCTCTCTTCTAAACTAGGCTGTATGGATTTGCTGTAAGGGTTCCTGCACATAATGGTCCGAGAAGGGATTTGTTAGGGGGCTTAGGGTTTAGGGCGTATGGGTTTAGGCTCACAAGCTTGGGGTCTTTTTGAAAAGCTACTTGAAAGATTAGCGGGCCGAGTAAGTAGGGTGACAACCATGACCAGTACAACTTCTGCTACTTTATTAGATTAGAATAAAAACCCCTAAACCCCAAACCCCATTAAAGAACCGATGACCTCGAAAACCCTAAACCCTAAACCCTAAACCCTATAAAACCCCTAAACATTGAACCCTTAAACGTAGAGCCCAGCCAGCTGAGGCTCTCTGTGTTGGGGGTGCGGAGCTTCCGGGTCCCAATATGCTGCGGAGCAGGGGAAGGGTTTGGGATTTAAGGGGTTGGGCTTGTGGGTCTACAGGTTTCGGGTTTAGGGTTTAGGGTTCAGGATTTTTTTTATTAAGGGTTTAGGGTTTTTTTTTGACCGGGCCCTTTTTCCAGCTGCAGACAGGAAAGGTCCGGGTTTAGGGTTTAGGGCTTCGGGTTTAAGTGCAGGTTTAAGGCTTGAGGATCGGGGTTTCGGGTTTCAGCGTTAAGCGTTTGCAAATTTGGTGTCTAAGGATTGCGTTTTGGGCGGGCATTCGTCTTCGTCATGGGACATGCAGATGCCGGCTTGGTGTCGCTCAGTGTGGTCCAGAGTTTTGTGCCTGGGGGTGCAGCCTTTGTTTAGGCTTTAGGCTTTACTATATTACGGGTTTGGCGCATCAGCCGGGCCCGAACTGATGAGTGGTACCCCAAGCCTAAACTGCTACGGTTTGGGGTTCACTTGCCTAATCCGGATCCCCCTGCTGTGAGCCCTGGACTTGAGCTGGCGAGGTCTGTGAGCTAGAAGACCTGTGACAATGCCAGTGCACGCCAGGAATGCGGACGTGAGGGTCTTGAAAATTAGAATACGAGTTGCAGGTACGATATGTGCGGGGGAAATCTATGTAAATGGATACTATTGCTGATGTTGGTAGTTACCCTAAACCCTAAACCCTAAACCCTAAACCCTAAACTCTAAACCGAAAGCCTCGGCGGAAAACCGTCACGGGACCCTGCACGAAAACAGAAAGTCGCTCCCTGCACGGAACTCTCCGAGGAGAGAGCATAGGTAGCTCTCTTTACGGTTTCGACGGCGAGGCTCATGGAATGGGTTTAGGGTTTAGGGTTTAGGGTTTAGGGTTTAGGGTTTAGGGTTTAGGGTTTAGGGTTTAGGGTTTAGGGAGTCAACCCTCAACTCTACATGAGAATGGTGCGCTGAGCCTTCTTACGCCCATGGATCTACCCAGGCACCGCGCTGGCGCTCTTTTCCTCGTCCAGGCTCCACATCAACAGCTTGAAACTTGCTCCTAGGAAGCAGAAGTACAACACGCCTATTGGTATGGAGATAGCCCGTACGTGCTTCTTCGGAGGTAAGACTGGATCAACCTCTGTGGTCGTGTGATCTTTTTAAGTCTGTACTAGCCTTTAACAAGTATGGCGTACACGGGTCATGTAGACCCGATCTAACCTCTCGGCCTGGGACCCTATGACCCTATGACCCTGAACCCTGGAACTCCTAACTCCTACCGCCAGGCGCCCTAAACCCCCAAACTTGTTCAAAACCTCAAACCCAAACCCTAAACCCTAAACCCTAAACGCAAAACCTCAAACCCAAGCCCTAACTAAGCTCTAAAAAGGCTCTGCCTTCATAGCTTTATAAAGTCTGCAGGAAGCGTCTCACGTGGCCGTCACTGTGGCAGAGATGATCGGCCGTTCGTCCTCGCCTGCGATCGCTCGACATTTTGGCCCTTAGGGTTTAGGGTTTAGGGTTTAGGGTTTAGGGTTTAGGGTTTGGGGTTGGGGTTGCGTCCTTACGCGGAGGTTAACGGTTTGAGGGCCGTGCAAATGGGGTTATGGTCGGGATGACTACACTGATAGCTACCTATAGCCTTCTTAAACGCTTGGGTCAAGGGTTTGGGGTACAAAGTTCTGGGTTAAGAGTTTATGGTTTAGGGTATTTTTTGCCACAGGGGTTTCGGGGTTGGGGTTTCAGGTTTGGGGCCATACAAGTCCATGAAGCAGCTGGTGAAATAAGCGACAGTTGGCAAAATCGTAAAAGCGCTAAATCCGAGACCTTACTGCCCTCTAACCAAGACGAAACCCACAACTAAATCCTATAAATGCAAAAGCCTGAACCTTATAAGCCCCAAGCTCCAAGCCACAGCCCCTGAGCCCCAAACCCCCAAGCCCGAACCCAAAGCCTTAAACCCTAAACCCTAAACCTAAACCCTAAACCCAAGCTCTGCGACCTCAAAACCCCAAGCCCTCGGCTACCCCTTACCTTCATCGCTCTTCGCAAAGCGGGCGACCACTGCCATTTCCCGGGAGGTCATACAGTGGGCCTTCCTGGACGAGAGCGTAATATGACATTATATAGTACAGCAGAAAAGCATACAATGGGATGCATGTTAGCCAATAACAATGATATAACATAACATAATACAATCTAATGTGATGTAATATAATACAAAACAATACAATACAATGTAATATATCAGGATATGACAATACAATACATGACAATGTAAGACAAGACAATACAGCACAGTGCATATAATCTTTTTCACAATACAATATGGTAGAATCTGATATAGTATCTCATGATATCATATAGTATAGTATGAAATAAGCTGAAAACAGTGGATATAAGATAACAACAATATCTCTTGGAGAGTTCAACAGAGTTTCTCCTGTTTCTGGCTTCTAATACCCTGAGCCCTAAAGACCCTAAATCCGAAACGCTAAAGCCTAAACCCGAAACCCGAAAGCCTGAACCCTAAATTCTAAAACCTAAACCCAAAAGCTAAACTCAGTCAATCTAAACTAGGTCCCTTACTCTACTATGTAGTATTGTATTATGTTATATTGTGTTCTGTGATATGTACTAATATGTATCCTATTCTATGATGACTTCAAGAACTCCCCAGGCATGCACGGATAGGAACCCCTCTGTCAGCTTAGCCGGAGCTCTGTGGACTGGCAAATGTACATAATGAAGGGGCCTTAACAATTAGAATAGGATTTTGGGGGGTTTGGGGTTTAGGGTTTAGGGTTTAGGGTTTAGGGTTTAGGGTTTAGGGTTTAGGGTAGAATAGGATTTTGGGGGTATACTGTACTGTAACTATAACAAGGAACCCCCAAAATAGTATAGGCGATTGTTAAGGCCCCCATATTTACTACGCAGACCCGAAATGGTAAGATCCTTATCAGAAGAAACACAAAATTCGGTACCCCTATACCTTCAAGAAACTCCAAAAGAAGCCTATCTTTGGTGTATCGAGCAGCCAAGGAAGTTCCAGAAGCCATGTTTATGGATCTGTTGGAGCCCTAGCTTCAGGCTTCCTTTGAGGTCCGGGCGTGTCTTGCACATACGCTCTTTCACACGAAAAGCCTCACCAACAAGCCAAACCCCAAACACTGACTCCCACTCGGATACCACCAGAACCCGAAATCTTGAGAAACAAACCACAAGACGTATAATGCAGCCCAAGAATCCTCAAAGCACGAAACCTCTGAAAGTAAAGCCCTAAAAGCCCTACACCCCCAAACCGCGGAAGGTGTATAGCAACCCTTACAGTAATCCTTCAAAAAAGAGCCCGTTTTGTAATCTTTACAATAACCCTGATAGTAATCTTATAGTAGCCCTTGACCAGCCAAGGCACTCCACAGCCACTAAGGCTACAGAGGACGCGGCTGTGCCCAGCAGCTCCAGTTTCACAGTGTTCGCCCGGCTATCACCGCCCATCGTCTCCTGGGCGTGCTACAGGTTGAAGAGGTTCCATATTGTTTAGGGTTTAGGGTTTAGGGTTTAGGGTTGTTCCTATCAGGGTTGCTGTCGTTTTTAGGGGGATCTAGGAGTGTAGCGATGTAGGACGTCTAGGATGCAGGATCCTTCACTTCAGGTTTCGAGCTTCTGCTCCTTCGGAGGTCTCGAGACAGGGCTCCGGAGAGCTTTCTATCCGGTAACTCTCTCTCTCTCTCTCTTGAGGGCTTAGGGTTTGGGTTTTGGGTTTAGGGGTTTAGGGGTTTAGGGTTTAGGGCTGCACCGATAAGGATTACGACAAGGATGACCACACGGATTACCCTGAGGGCTACTCTCAGGGGTACTTCAGGGTTAAAATAGAGATCACAAGGGTTAGGCTTGCAGGTGTGCGTGGCTTGTGGTATCTCACTTCATCCGGGTCTCCACGGAGCCCTAAACCCTAAACCCTGCCCTAAACCCTAAACCCTAAACCATCCGGGTCTCCACGGAGCGCAGGCGATACGCGATAAGGTTCGCGAGGGCCGTGGCATTCGTGTTGGAGCCGACTCGGAGGATTGCCGGGTCGGGGTCTTCGGTAACGGGGAAGTCACGGATGACACGGAGCCTGCAGCGACCATCCCGCTGTCGTGGCAGTATCTGGGCCGTGGTCCGAACCTCCTTAGCATTGATGTAGGCTAGGATGTAGAGGGCCTTACTCCGAGCCTTCCGAGTCATCACCTTCATGTCTACAATGCGAAGGGCCTCCGACTCCTCAAGCACTCCGGAGATGTACCCGGCGATCGCCTTGACATCGGTGTTGTCTGATACATTGAAAGTCTCGAAGAGCATCGGCACCAGCGGGGGCCGAGGAGGCTTCCACGGCGGGGACCTCTTCACGGACTCCTCGACCGCAACGGCCCGTAGCGCAGCCGGTGCCCCACCGCTGCGGCTACGGCCTGCGAGCCCAAGGAGCCCATAGACCCCCGAGAAGCCACAGCTCGGCACCGCTGCCAAGGCCAGGCACAGGCCCGCCACAATCTCCCGAAGGCGCGGCCGCGGTGCCCGCCGGGCTTTCGGATCCATGGCAACTCGGGCCCGAAGAGGGGCCAAGGTCTCCAATGCAGGCCTGAGGCAACCTGAAGTGAGCTGAAGAATCTGAAACAACGTCATGCGATCTACAGCAACGCTTGCATCCGGTGTCTCCGACATGCCTCTGGTGGAACAGCTGCTGAGGAGAATGAACCAAGTCTCTGCAGGTGTGAGGTTTTGGGAGTCTTGACTTCTGTCTTCTTGGGATCCGGTTCGGGTGGTAAGTTCAGGGGCCGAAGCCCGGGGGAATTAAGCAACTTAACAGCCCAGAGTCGAGAGTCGTGAGTTTAGGAAGGGCTGAGACACTGAACACTCCACCTCTCTAGCTTTGCACAAGACCAACAATAGTAAGAGCAACGGCAAGTTCAGGTCTTCGTCCTCACAACCGCAGCAGCAGCAGCAGCAGCAGGCGGAGGAGTAGGTGCCGCAGCAGCAGTAGCAGTACTAGTCGTCGTCGGCGGTGGTAGTGCCAGTGGTACCGGTAGGGCAGTGGTAGTAGAAGTAGAACAAGCAGCAGCAGCAGCAGCAGCAGCAGCAGCAGCAGCAGCAGCAGCAGCAGCAGCAGCAGCAGGCAGCTTGGTCGTCGTCAAGTACCTGGGTGGCTGGGTGGGTAGGCATCCAGGTAGGAATCATCGCAACAAGATTGACGGCCCAAAAGCACGAGCCTCTTCGCCGGCATGGAGCTCGGAAGCCTGGACGAAGCTAAAAGCCCTTGACTTTGGCAAGGGTGTTTTCCGACTTCGTAGAGGGCAGCAACTCGTGTGCCCTGAACACTAAGATCAAACCACGAATTCCGAGTTGGATGACCACCGGCAGGCGGAGCAGTTGGCCTTTACTTGAAAATACCTCACGACTCATCCTAGTTCTTCGACCCTAAACCCTAAACCCTAAACCCCTCAACCCTAAACCCTAAACCCTAAGCCTAAACCTCTAAACCCTAAACCCTGAACCCCTAAACCCTAAACCCCTACGCCCTAAACCCTAGAAGCTTTAGGCTGCCGGGCTCCGGAGGCATCGTCTTAGCTGGAGCCTTCTGAACCATCCCACGGTTTAGGGTTTAGGGTTTAGGGTTTTGGGTTTCGGGTTTAGGGTTTTGAGGTTAGGGTTTTGGGTTTAGGGTTTAGGGTTTTGGGTTTAGGGTTTTGGGTTTTGGGTTTAGGGTTTGGGTTTAGGGTTTAGGGTTTAGCTCTTTTGGGTTCGTGTCGCGACCACAAGGATGGTGGTCGATGTGCCGGATGAGAAAACCACTGCGAACGAATGCTACTGTTCTGTCTGCGTTTAGGGTTTAGGGTTTAGAGTCGAGAGTTTAAGGGGCTCCTCTTGCTCTTGATGCGCCCCTCAACTCGGAACCACGTCGTGGTCGCATGGGGCTGTGGAAAAGGAAAAACCGGAGCCCTGCCCCGGGGTGTATGACACGGGGTTCAGGGTTTAGGGTTCAGGGTTCAGGGTTTAGGGTTTAGGGTTTAGGGTTCAGGGTTCAGGGTTTAGGGTTTAGGGCCTAAGCTTGCAATGGCACGTTGGTGAAGCAAGTCCCGGCATGCAGAGTAAATGATGTCAGTTTGGTCTGGCAGGCCCTTTACAGCCGCCCCTTATAAAGCTAGTAAAAAGACACGACATCACCCAATAAAGCTAGTAAAAAGACATGACATCACCCAATACAGCTGGTAAAAAGACATGACATCACCCAATACAGCGGGTACAAAGACATGACATCACCCAATACAGCTAGTAAAAAGACATGACATCACCCAATGCAGCTAGTAAAAAGACATGACATCACTCAATACAGCTAGTAAAAAGACATGAAATCACCCAATGCAGCGAGTAAAAAGACATCACGTCACCCAATAAAGCTAGTCAAAAGACATGGAATCACCCAATACAGCTAGTCAAAAGACATGGAATCACCCAATAAAGCTAGTACAAAGACATGAAACCAAATGGGGATTTCCGAAAATAGCGGACCCTAATAGAGTACCCTAAATAGTAGGATCCTGATTATAAGGACCCCAAAATAAGGTACCCTTTGTTTTCGGAAACTCCCAAATCTCTTCGAAGTTCCCGGCTCCCCTTCTGAGGGCTAGGCGAGTCGGTAGCGGGTTGAAGACTCCAGAGCCCACGTGAAAGGCCCAAAGAGCTTAATCTAATGGTTTAGGGTTTAGGGTTTAGGGTTTAGGGTTTAGGTTTAATGGTTTAGGGTTCAGGGTGTATTAATGAGGAACCCTACAATGTCGTGCTAGAATGAAGCATAAAGCAATAAGGAACCCACGACTATCATGCTCGAACCAACTACAATATGAAAAGGGAACCCAAGAACCATGCCAGTACTAATTCTTTAAACCTCTACCAAAGAACCGAAACAGCTGCAGGCAGGTTGGGAAAACTCTGGCCGAGCTGGTAAGTGGAACGGCTTAGGATTTTAGATCTAGGTGCAAGGATTTAGGGCTTAGGGTTAGGGGTTTAGAGGGTTAAGGGCTTTCCGGCGGGGTCGTGGGAGGGTCAAGGATGAGACCACTGTGCAGTTCCGGGGTTTCGGGCCCCTGCTTCATCAGATTTTGCGGGCAAATTAAGGCTTAGGGTTTAGGGTTTAGGGTTTAGGGTTTAGGGTTTAGGGTTTAGGGTTTAGGGTTTAGGGTTTGGGGTGATAACAAGGGTTGCTGGAATTGCTGGCTGGCTATAAGATTCTCTGCAATCGTTGCTGTAAGGGCGACTATCAGGATTATGGGTAATTTTGCCATAAGGGTTGCTTTGGGGTTCCTCTAAAACTATAATGCTTACCTTAAGGGGATGGCTATAAGAGTTTCTCTGAGGGTTAGTTCCTGCAAAATGGCTCCTCTACGGGTTACTGTAAGGAGTACTATTCGGGCTACAATACAGCGGCCATCAGGTGCTTCCCAGGTTTGGGCTTTAAGGGGCTTTAGCGTGTTTGGGGTTTGGGGTTTAGGGTTAAGGTTCCCCTAAACCCTAAACCCTAAACCCTAGACCCTAAACCCTAAACCCCAAACCCTAAACCCTAAACCAGAACCCAAACCAGAAATGCCAAATCCTGAACCGTCAATTAACAAACTCGCGAGAGCTGGAGGCCACTGATCTAGAACGCCTGCTAGCAGGATCCGGTTTAGGGTTTAGGGTTTTAGGGTTTAGGGTTTAGGGTTTAGGGTTTAGGGTTTAGGGTTTAGGGAGAGAAACCCCAATCTAACGCTATCAAGAATACCAATATTACTGTAGGGACCTGAATAATTTGAATAGGGTATTGGGGTATAACCGTAACAAAGAACCCCAAAAAATAGTACAGGTAATGGCTTAGGCCGCTATATTAATCATACGGCAACCACACGGATAATACAGGGGCCTTAATAATCAGAATAAGGTTTCGGGGTATACTATACTATAACTATAAGAAGGAAGCCCTAAAAGAGTATGGGTAATTAAACCCTAAACCCTAAACCCTAAACCCCTAAACCCCTAAACCCCTAAACCCCTAAACCCTAAACCCTAAACCCCTAAACCCTAACCCCTAAACCCTAAACCCTATAATAACAGTGATCATGTGAAGGATCCCGTAGGTCGTCATGTACGTAAAGGATCATGGGACTTAGTAAGTAGGGTTATAAATCGGGTGACTATACTTATAACCCCAATTAATGGACTTATAACCTGACTTACTAAGTCCCATGATCCTCCAAGTAGGAAGTGCCTTCTCCGCCAGCTCCTTGAAGGAGGGTTCAGGAGTTCGGGGGGGGTTCCCAAGGGCTTAGGGTTTAGGGCTTAGGGTTTAGGGTTTGGGGCTTAGGGTTTAGGGTTTAGGGTTTAGGGCTTAGGGTTTAGGGTTTAGGGTTTAAGGCTTAGGGTTTAGGGCTCAGGGCTCAGNNTTAGGGTTTAGGGTGCAGGGTTAGGGCCGAGGCTTCGAGACTCAGGGTTGAGGGTTTTTCAGATTTCTGGCCCAACCCATAGAAAACCCTTACAGGCACCCCAAGAAACCGGACCCCAACGAAACCTTATCCGACATAAGGCTCACATCAACCCCACACCAACTGCCCCGCTAAAGCCCAAACCCCAAACCCTAAA